ACCAAGTGTAGAATTCCTCACTTCTAACCCTATGCTTATACCCCGCCAGTCAATGTGGCCCACACTGAATGGCAGTTCAAATCATGTCCCTTTTGTTGAGGGTCAAAATTTCACTCCTTATCCTCAACACTTATAGCACTAATCATAGCACAATACCACAATAATAGCACCTTAAGTGATTCAACTCCCATTAGAAAGCCTGCAAGACAACAGAAGCATCAGTGAGTGTCAACCATGGGCAGTGAGTAAGGGCAAGCTGGTGAGGACAAAAGAAAGTCAGCTATCCCTTAACCTTGGTTAAGCTGTTTCAGCTTGTAACTCTAATCAAGGCTGCTGAAGAATTTATTAAGCATGAGGATTACACATTCCCTCTGTCTTGTATTCCTTAGGATGGGAAACAAAGTAGAAGAGGAACAGCCAAAAACAAACAGATGAAGGGGAGGAAAGAAAAAGACAATCGCCCACTAAATAATAGAGGTTCCTGGGCCAGGAGTCACCATGGCAAATCCTACCTTGGAGCCTCCAATGGTTCAAACGAGGCTGCCAATCATGTGTCTTACTTGCCCACAAATAACACCCTTGGAGTGGAAATCCCAGCTGTATACATTTACTCTCCTACCAGTGCTTCATTTTTTCTGAAAATTTTCTTCCCTCCATGTGGTTGCCCAAACCAGTTCATGTGCTTACTGGCATGTTATGAAACATGGAAACAATTAGAGACCACATTCTAGGGCACAAGGGAATGACTCGCTACAGAATCAATGAACTATGCAGAACTTGAGAGGATTTGGCAAAAAAGATGGAAATTGTAGAATAAGACCCACTAACAGTATCTCATGTCACACAGCACATTCTACAATTCTTTAAATTGATCTGTGTGTTTTCAGGCAGCAATCGTACTTTACTTTCAAAGTCTCTAGTTTATAGCCTTATATTTTGTTTTGTTTCTTTATTTATCCAAATGAGACTCAGAAAATATTCAATGTACACATTCTCTCTTCAGGTTTTGATAGCTGAATTCATACACTATGCAAACAGTCTTCTCAGTTAAGTTTGGAATTCTTGTAAGGCCACATTTGAGGGGGAGTGTTTGAAATCAAAGAACTTAAATTTCCAAAAGACCAATTTGAGTCCTAAGTCATCACACTTGGAAGGGCTTCTTTAGCAAAGGAAATGCTAAGAATGGTCAGCTCTTTAACAAAAGGCTAGTGAAACTTCTAATACATGCTAATGAACCCAAGAGCCTTTTGTGTGAGTTAGCTGTTCTAACTTGGCAAAGGTTTAAGCACTGCTGCTTTATCATCCAAAGGCCTGAGTGAGAGGCAAAGCACAAAGCTGGAAAACACAGGACATAGGTACTAAGGGGGCAATTCCCTAGCACCATCAAGTAAGTAAGAGAATGGGGAGGGGTAATGCAAAACTGAATCAAAAGTAAACGTGGTATCAAGAATATATTATCTTTAGTGACAATTATTACTACATGTAATTCATGTTCATATTACTATTTTCATATTCTATTTCTTCAAGATATGGTTGCAGTGGAAGCTGCAGTCAGAATGTCCTTGTGATCCATGTGCAGACTGATTAACAATTCCCTGCATCAGTGTCTCGATTCTGGAGATTCTGTCCTGGGGAAGGCAAGTGCAAAAGAAGCCCATGTTGTGAGCTCTGTTTGGTCACAGTACATGGGTGTTACACTGGGAACAGTGGGCAGAATTCATCATGAGCAGTGACTCTATGAGGCTGGTCAGGGTTCACTGTCAGCCACAGAGAAACAAACGCATTGCATTTGGGAACAAAAACTGAATTATTTGAGAGCAGCTTTAGGGGAAACTGAGGTTGTACTGGTACATCCTCCCAGCTCTCTGTCTCAACCAAACCCTAACAGATGAGATTCCTTACCTTGGTTAATACCCACAATAATCCTATGTAATTTAAAAAGGACAAATGAGACTTTTAGGCATCCCAGTAACGTGTTCACTGTCAAACACCTAGTAAGCACTATAGCTGGGATCTAAACCCAGACATCTGACTGCAAGGCATCTATTTAGGACTGTGTCATATAATTCCCTTCTCTCTGATGGTGGTATCCCCAGGCAGTCTTGTGAAATATCATCTGTCCTCTCTTCCCTTTCCTCTTCTCTCTCCCCCATCACCAAACTGCCAGTCAACATGTACTCCTGCATACAAGTATTCTGCAGTACACAGTTTACACACACATGCACACACACACACACACACACTTCATTTTTCTATATACCAAGGGGGTGTGTGTGAATATTATTTCAAGAATCTGAGCCTTCTTCCAAATAATGAAATTTCAGGCTTCAGCCCTTGGAGAGGTGATTTCTTTCAACCACCTGGACCACCTCCCCTTATGGGGAAGACTACAAGCAGTCCCTAAATAAAGCCAGACTAGTTCAAACATCTGTTTTGAAATTGAAAATTCACTGAGTCCCCAGATCAGCCCACATAACCCACAGAGTTCCTGAAGTATAAAGCTATATATTTCGGTAACAATTAAGCACTATTTAGAGAAACTCAATCCAAGTTCTTAGTTGTGAATCTAGGAACGCCTTTCCCTTTCTCCCTAGACTTTAGGTGAAAGAGCAACTGGATAGGGAAAAAGCGAGGTGGGAGGATGTGAGGGAGAAGATGGAAGAGCAGGTGAGATAATTTGGGGGACCAGTGCTTTGCTAGATTTCTCGGTTGCATTTGGTCATTTATTCTCAAGCATTCTAGACTGGGGAACGAAGGGCTTTGGGGCCTTGTGGGTCAGGCCTCATTTGTATGTTCAGATTGATGATGTTGAGACTCCTCAATATTGGCTTATGCAGGTCATCACAAGTTTGGGTACAGACTGAACCACCACAGAATAAAAATCACAAGACAGCATTTTAATTGGCCTCCTTAGGCCATTTAACAACGGAGAAAGCTAACTTGCAAGAGCAAAGAGTAATTAATGAAGGGAGCAAACAGAGGTTCATTTAGTAACTTCAAAATAAGTTCCTCTGTCTGAGGTGGGGAAAAAAAGGTAGCCTGCAACATAAAGATAAACTGTAGGTATTTAAGTCACAATGCCTTCCGCCAAGAACTGCTCATTACCATCAGATATTGTGATGGCAGTGGGGCCAGTTAGAACGAACTTTATTATTAGAAGCAATTAGGGAGAAAAGGGGCAGAATTTCATTGCGTTATTTCAAAACAAGTTTCTGTGCACGGTTTAATGAAGGCCTGCAGTGTCAAGATAAAATGTGTGCTTTACTGAAAACAGCTTTTGCAAATGGCTGCTTGTTACCAGCGGTATCTCCAGGCAGAGCAGTCTGGGTAGGCTGGATTTACATGCACGCTGTAATAGAATAGTTCAGCTGTCTCAGCTTCACAGAAGTGTTAACAGGCAATATGGCCTGATTGTTAAGCACATGTGTTCTGGGGCCAGACTGTCTGTCTTCAAATCCTCACTCTGACCTTGAGAGCAGAATGACCTTGAGTGACCTCTGGAATGTTCTAGGCTTCGTTGATTCATATGTAAACTGGAGATCATAGTAGTGTTTATCTCACAGGATTGTTGTGAAATATCAATGTGTCTAATATGTGTTAGATGCTGCATTATGAAGTTATATCCCAGAAACAGTTGGGTGGAAGGTTATTTTTACAGGACTTGGTATATGGGGGTTACCCTGAGTACAGATCAATAATGGATCCATTTACATATTTTTAATGGGGTTTTCATGTAAAGAATGACAATGACATTTGTCTTCACAGTCATACAGGTTTCATCTAAATTCTTTTCAGACAGTATTTCAGTATTTCTATATAATCACATGTTATAAAGAGGTTTGACTGCTTTTTGGGTTTGCTGAACCAGTTGTGTACCATATCCTTTACTTCCACCTTTAAAGTAATGGCTGGGACTTTTTATATTTTCCTGAGTCTGAGCTTTTCCCTTATGAATTCCCTGCACAGCCTTCAACTCTTCCCTCATCTACATACCTGGGCTAAAAGAAACTGCCATGTATCGAGCTTAGGAGACCATTTAAAAAACTCAACTGTCCCACAAAAAATGGGGAGTTGGGCTTTGGCTTCCTTCTAAATATCTTTTTGAGACTACTGTGACCACAGTAAAAGAGACCTCTCACCAGTGGTTTCAAACTCTGCCCGAATGTCCTACTCTTCAGTGAGAGTGTGTGCTGCCTTCAGTGATTTTTCAGACTCCTTCATTAAATTCTCAAGGTTAAAGACTGATTTTCATCAGATGGCTACAATATTTGCATATTCACTTGGGAATATGGCACACTGCTTACCCATTATGTTTTAGTTTTGCAAATCAATAACATTTAACTAATGTGCCATGCACCATAATATTGGACCCATATGATGAATAAAACCCCCTTCTTAGACCTTAACAAGCAATGACTCTGTGATTAAAATCTATTCACTTTGGAGAAGGCTAAAGTAGCAAAATGTCCTCTACACATTTATATGTTTTCTCAGCTGTGTATTAACCCACATCATTTTGCTGGCTGCATTAACTTAATTTATGGTAATTTGAATAATTTATATAAGAGCCTCTTTCACAGAATTTTAGATCTTACCCTGCAGATTATGAGAAAGAAAAAGTTAAAAATACTGACAAGTATATATTGGTGGGATTCTCCCCCAAAGTCTGTGTGTTCTTGTTCAATGTGAGTTTTTGAAAGAGGTTCAAACTAATATTTATTTTCTCTAACCAAACTGTCTACTTTTTTAAGTATATATATGTATATATATATATATATATAATTTTTTTTTTTTTGGCAATCACATTGTAATGAGAGAATTTCCTTCTTGAAAGACTCAGTGTTAAATAATGGTTTTATCAGAGTTGTTGATGCCCACTCACAATTTGTTCCTGTTGGAAAGTCAAAGCTTAAGGAAAGGGTAGATTCCGAAAAGAATAAAATATGCAGCATAGGGACTACCTGAGGAAAGGTCTGAAGAGAGAAGGTAGATATTCTTACCCTGGATCGTTCTTCTAGTTTTGTCATCATGACAACTGTTGCACTCCGTTGCTCCCATATCATTCTCCAAAAGTCCCCAAATGTTTCAGGGAGAGATCCCTGTGTTGCAATATAGGCGTTTTGTTTCCTATAGCCATCTATGTAGTTGGCATTCACATAGTCACTTCCTGGGATGCCTGTAAAACAAGAAGTGTTATTCCATGAGGTGAACCTATCACAAGAGGAAATAGCCTGGGATCTGGCCTGAGGGCAATGTTATATTATTGTTTCACAGTATGCTAGAGGAATCACAATATATTAAATTTTGGGTCTTAAGCAAGATAGTCTCGTTGGGACTATCACATTAAAGAAATAGGTGTTCCAGGTGTTGGATCTCTGTAATATGACAAGGTAAATACCAAAGAAAGAAAAATATAACTGATTATCCATAGGGTGCTATTTTTCTCACACCCTATTTTCTCCACTGCATCAGTAAAATACAGCACGCAAAGGAGGACAGAAATTTATCTGGTCACATTCCTCACTCATGCTATTCCAATTGCCAGACAAAAATGAAATAAAATAATGCCTGAATCTGAAAACGCAGTGTAGGGTGGAGCGTGTGTAACGGTGAGAAATTCTTCACAAATTTAGCTAATAGGGAACTCATTTGTAAACTCATTTAATCCTTACAACAACTCTATGAAATATATCCTGTCAGGATCTTCCTTTAACAAAGGAGAAAACTGAGGTGCATCGAGATGAAAGCACTTGCTCTAACTGGTGGAGTCTGGTTTAATGATAGTCAGTCTGTCTGCTATGTCTGTCTTAGACTCTGCAGAGATTGCTTCTTGTTTAAACCTCACAGTACTGTTGTACCACATGTTCCTTCCCTTGGATTATCGTGATGGCCTCTTATTTGCTTATCCCACTCTACTTTTGACCTTTGCAGTCTGCTCTTCATCTAGCATGATAGCAATTTCTAAGAAAATATTTCAGACTTTGTAACTTCTTTCCTTCAAACCCAACAATGGGTTTCCCTTTTACTTCCAATAAAATCCAAACTCTCAACAATACTTACAAAGCTCCACACTTTTCCAAACACATCTCATTCTATTCACCTCCCTGCCTTCTAAACTCTAGACACTGGTCCAGCTTCCATTGGTAGAAAACACTGCTCTCCTACCTCAGTGCCATCCCACACCTTAGAACACACTCTGTGTCTCCTTCCCATTGTAAAACGCTCAGCCTATATCTCAGAAAGCCTGCCCTTGATACTCCTGGACCTCAGAATTCCCTTGACTTTATGTTACTTATTACACATTGTAATTATATACTTGTTAACACAGTTATCGCCTGCTTTGACCTCTAGACCAGGTGTCTGTTATTAACCCTTGCTATCTCTAGGGACAAAAAGAAATTTGCCCCAGTTTTGACATCTAGTAAGTAGCAGAGCTTGAACTTGATGCTGATATTCTGATTGAAAGTCTAATTCAGCGTGACACCTTTAAGAGGAATATAGATAAATTTGAGCTTCTTCCAAGGAGAGTGACCAGAGTGGTTAAGAAAATCAAAGCTGTTCTGTATGAGAAAGGAATACATAGTACAGCTTGGTAGAGGAAAATGTAAGGGTTGGGGATGAGAGCTGCCTGTGAGGATCTGAAGAGAGGTTTAGGTTAACTCTGTTGGGATCCAAATTTTTCCATTCTGAATGATGTAACTACAGAGAGAAGAATTTCATCTCCAATTTAATAAAGCATTTTCAAATTGTCAGAATCAAAAAGGGAATAGATTTCCTTGGGATGTAATGAGTTGCCTACCCCTGGAGGGGAACAAGCACTTTACATGGATACTGGCAAGATATGAGAGGTAGCACTAAAACCTGTACATAGCCCCTTCTTGCCCTGGGAAAATATGAGTCCTGGGGCTATGAGAAAAAAAAGAGAATATTTTCTTTATAATGGAACATATGTTCCCAAGCTAAAATTGTTATATTTCACTGATTGCCACTTGCAATTACTTTGACTGCTTTTCTGATTCCAGTTGTAAAACTGATCCTTTCAAAAAAATAATGAAAGTCAGATGGGAACTACTGGGCTCCAAGATGAACACATGGATATGGAATACCACCAGCATTAGTGAAAAGCTTTTTGAGTAAAAACTGAAATGCATGGTTGGTTCTAACATTATTCATCTATTACAGCTACTCAAGAAGCAGTTGGGGTTCTGGCAGCTCTTTGTTGATAAAGATTCTATTCCTCCAGACACCAAATTACTGTAGATTCAAAAGCGAGTTTAAATAAAGTCCTCAGGTTATGGCCATTGGGAAGCACACACAACCTCATGTCCACAGGATTTGGTTCTGAGCCAACAATGAACCTATTTTATAATACAGGAAAAGCCCACTTTAGAAATTTTAATTTAACAGTTAACAACATTAAAGAATTGATAAAAAAAAAAAAAAAGGGTTCTGGCTAAAGGCATCCATCAGCTACCAATATACAGAAAAGCTTTTCCAAGCAAGTTGAAAATAGAGAAATCTGGGTTAATGACTCAGAAAAGGCATCAGCAAGGCATTGTACCTCTTTCCCCTTATCAAGGATAACAACTATATTTGAATAATGTGTCAGAGGACAGAGGAGATGGACAGGAGACTCACATCTAAAGGAAGGGAATCAGCCCAGCTCAACATTCTTATACAAATTTTAATCATTGATTACATAATGAATTGTTTTTTGACATACTGCTTAAGTTTGAATAATAAATTATTATTTTTTAGCGGGGGTAGGGGGGGTGGGATGCTACTTAATAATGCTTGCACTTCCCAGGGATAAAAATACAAAACATCTGCCAGAAAAATACTAGGCACTTGGGATATGTACTGTATCACCAAATGCTTTAAGAATTTGATATTTTGAAAAGAAAGTTAAAAGGAAAAATTCAATACCTAGTAGAGTTAATTATTAGGCTAATGTTTACATTTTTAAAATATTGCTGAGGCTCCTTTTCTATTTTGACACTCATCTGTAAGGAGGTAGTGCCTGGAATGAATGCCTCCTTCCAGGAAATCCCTTTATATACTCTGGCCAAAAGGCATTCCAAGTAAGTCTTCTCCCATACAACCTTTACAAGATGGGGATGTGAGAGATGACTATGTTCTATAGAAGCTCTAAGATCTAATGTATCTGTATTTCATACAACCCAAACAACAAGCTGTGTAGAAAGATGAATGAGAAAAGATTTTAGGAAGGGTGGTGCTTTGCCCTTTTAAAAACATTAGCCCCAGATTGGAAACTAAAGTTGAACAGAAGTGTGTTTCAAGTAGATGAGATCTCAGTTTTCAGTGTGACATATTTAGAAAAATTTTTTAGCCAATCTTGTGAGAAAAACAACATGGTGGCTTTCCAAGTGTTTTGGTGCCATGAAAGGTTTCTTCGTAGCTTGTGACTGCAATGTTCTGCTGGGAGGCTGAATCTACAAAATCCTTTCACTTTTTTGGGGGTGACCTTCTCCAAGTAATGCATACTTGTTTATTTAATTTATAATCCCCTGCCTTATCCAGAAGATGATTTGCATCTGCTAATGCAACACTAATCAGAGTGCACTACTAATCCAAGAGAAGTGTGTGAGAATTAATTGAATTCCTCTGGGGCTATGATGGATGGAAATCTAACTTAACATGCAGTACTGAAAGAATATAGAATTACTATAAATTAGCTGATTGCTTTTAATTTTTGGAGTCAAGGAGACCTTTGTCCAATACTATGATAATAATGGTGTTTGTTGCTTTTTTTTTTTTTTTTTTTTTGTGGGTGTTGCTTATTAAAACAATGAAAGCATAAGAAAGATATCTGCCTTTAGCTCATCATAAGCAAATACCTTAGGTCTGGCCCTGCTGTAGGAACTCTTTCTTGGAGTCAGTTGGTCTTAATGTCTTTGTTCAAGAACAGCTTACTACCTTTATAAAAGTAAGTTTCATGATTTCCCATGTATTATTTCATGTGTACTCTCCACTTACCAATAGTCATGTAAACAGGTCCAAGACCCATAATTATCATTCTAATATTATAAGTGAGAAAAATGAGGCTAGATCTTGAATTCATATTATACCTATATGCCCCTTTCCCATGTTATAGTGTGTTTCATCAGGCAATGAACTATTCTTTCTTGTGGTGCATACAGATATTACTTACACGCTTTATACCAGATTTTGTGTTTGGGTCAAAGAAAACTTGGAGCTATAAAACACAAGCCTGTAAGACCAACAGAGATTGTGATGAGGTGAATGGTTGGCAGAGCTGTGCTTCTGTGTCCTGCAGGCATAGCAAGACACAGCAACAGCTATTCACACAGAATTAGGACAGTTTTAGGCTCTCATTTCATTTGCTGGGAATTGCTGGTTATAATTTTCAGTGGAAAGTAAGTCTAGGCATGGATTTTGGGCTCTGCTGTTCTTTTATTTTTTTGCAAAGCTTTGGAAATGTATCATGAGTTCAACATGCAAGGACAATGCCATTTTTCTTCACCTAAGCATAGGATTAATGGAACAGGCTTCATGACATTGGTCCCACATGTGTTTGAATATTAACAGAAGGAGAGAAATCCTTGGAAAGATGAAGCTACTCTGAAAGAATGTTCGTGATGAATAAATAATTCATGCTGAAGAATGCTTTAAAACCTTGAAAGCATGTTGAACTGCCAAAGAATATACTATCTGAGCTGTTTTGTCCTGACTAGATTAAAATATATTTTTTTTCCTGTTAACTTGAGGAGGACTAATTGGGTCATATGGGTCTATTAAAACAAAACAAAAAACAAGGGACACCTCAGTGGCTCAGTTGGTTAAGCATCCAACTCTTGATTTCAACTTAGGCTGTGATTTCAGGGGTGTGAGATTGAGCCCTAGGTTGGGCTCTGTGCTGGGCATGGAACCTGCTTAAGATTCTCTCTCTTTCTCTCTTTCTGCCCCCCTTAAAAAAACAAAACAAAGTAAAACAAAACAAAACAAAAACCCAAACAAACAAACAAAAAACCCAACTTGCCTTGGTCTCAATTTTTCCGGTCAGGAGATAATTTGATTTGAAAATATTTCTCTTGTTGAGGGGTGTTCATAATTATAAAAGAATTATTTTATTAATGTGAAATTAAGTAATTATAATGGGTATATGAGTACTTCTGTATCACTCCATTCTGTAGG